ACTTATCTGTAAAAGCACAACCTGGATACATACAACTCGCACAATCAGATGCAAGTGTACAACGCACAGGCTCCACAGAAGTATGTGATATAAAGTATGGAGGCAGAAAAACCTCAAACTGCTTCGAGGTACTTGACCTCCCAGACAAGAAATCACCAATCCTATTAGGAATGGACATTCTACCATACTTGGGCATATACTTAGCAGGGATAATCAACCCACTAATACCAACAGATGTCAAATGGGAATCACTTCTTACACCACATGAAAAAGACCCTGAACATGAACAGGAAGGATTCAGAGAATCACTCTCAGACTTGTTAGAACAAAATGGGCAAATCCCGCCAGATGTACTCTGCAATGTACCAGGTTCCGTGGTAGAGATACCTAGTCAAGAGGTTAAAGCAAAGAACATTCGTCATGCTAAAGTGAACTTTGTTGTACACAAATACATACCACAAACAGATGAAAACGTTCAGAAATGAGTCAAAGATGGACACGTATCAAAAGAACAACATCCACACAGGTGAACCTGTCACTACTGTCCACAGGAGAATTTGAACAGACAGGTCTGTTAAAAAAGGTCCGCACATGTTTAGACTTAGGAAAAGTAAACTGTCAACATGAACAAGACAAATTCGTTTTACCAAAGATAAAAGAAGTACTCCACAACCTACAAGGTGCGCAATTCTTCTCCAAACTGGACTGAACAGGAGGCTTCCACCACTTTAAAAAACATGAAAATAGCCAACACTTCTTCACATTTTCATGGAGAGGGGTGCAATACTCATTCAAGTCAACTCCATTTGGACTGCACTCGCTAACAGAACAATTCCAAAGAGTGATGGCCAACCTCCTCATTGACAATAAAGGGGTACAAGTATATGTAGATGACATAGTCATTGCTAGTATGACAGAAGAAGAACACAGAAAAACAGTACGCGAAGTCATCAAAAGACTTAATGCTGCCAACTTCAGGATAAATCACAACAAGTGTGTGTTTGCAGTCAAGACAGTCAAAGTAACCACCAAAGGGCTCAAACCGGACCCAGAGAAACAGAAACGCATGATTGACTGGCCCTTACCAAGAGCCAAATGTGACTTACATCGAACAGTCGGTCTAGCAAATTACATGCAAGACCACATACCTCAGGTTGCACACATAACGAAACACTTCCGAAATCTCATGAAAGGCAAAATGAATCAAAATATAGCCAATCTTTGGACACCAGAGCTCATCAAGAATTGGGAAGAACTCAAAGATGCCATTACATGCTCAGCAACTTTGGTGTACCTAGTAGATGGAGTACCGTTTCAAATCATGAAAGATGCATGTGACTATGGTATTTTT